AGCGACCAGCATCAAGAATATTTCCCAGTTGGAGTCGGAGAAGGCAGTGAGATTAAGTGAGCAGTCACGGTGGAGAAATAAACCAAAATTGATTGTTCCCTTAAGATAACGAAGAATGCGTTTAACCGCCTGCCAATGGTGCTCCGAAGGGTGATGCATATACTGAGATAACCGATTAATAGAGAAAGATAAATCTGGCCTGGTGAAAGCTAAATATTGTAGTAAGCCCAGTGCCCGACGATAAAGTTGAGGGTCCGACATAGGAGGACTGTCAGCAACCGATTCTGAAAGTGTGGAGCTCATAGGTGTAGTAGCGTCCCTCGCACCAGACATCTTGCAGCTATCCAAGATATGAAGTATGTACTGCCTTTGAGAAAGGAAGACACCAGTCGTAGTAGGTATTACCTCAATACCCAAAAAGTGATTGAGACGTCCCAAATCTTTTACGGAGAAGCGAGTGGTGAGCTGGCCAACAAATTTATTAAGTGCAGTTTGAGAGTTCCCGGTGAGTACGATATCATCTACGTACACGAGGAAATAGAGTAGAACACCGCCTTGAGAGTAAACAAAAAGGGAGTTGTCTGCTTGTGATTTGCTAAAACCCACTGAAATGAGAAACCTGGAGAGTTCCATATACCATGCGCGAGGAGCTTGTTTAAGGCCATATAATGCCTTACGAAGACGACAGACATAGTTGGGACGAGTAGGGTCCACATAACCTTGCGGTTGAGTCAAGTACACCTCTTCATTAAGTGATCCATGCAAGAACACATTGTTAACATCAAGTTGGCGAATATCCCAATTTTGAGAAAGAGCAATAGTGAGTACAATACGGATGGTGGCCGGTTTAGTGACAGGGCTGAAGGTTTCAGTATAGTCACGTCCGGGTTGCTGAAGAAATCCACGCGCAACTTGTGACACCGCACCCGAATGTCCTTGGAGATTTGATTTAAATATTCAAAGTTTATGTATTGGATTTCCGGTTCCCAAACAAGTGTAAAACGATTTATGTTCTGCGTAATTAATGATCGAATATTGTACTCTTCGAACTCGTATATTAGTGTCGGACACACGAATACTATTTGGGACTTATTAATAGATAAAGGAGCCCAACATTTTCTAAATAGTAATATTTGATCTTTCAAGACAAATTGAGGAAGGTCGGGCGGCCCAAACGTTATTTTGGGCCCAACCTGCTAAAAATAGCAAGTACTCAAGAATGGCGTTCTAGACCCACACGGCTAGTAGCCCAATAATATGTATGACAAATGTCAAATAAGTGATAGAATGATTCAAGAAGAATACAAATGCCTATAACCCCATCTTTGGCATTATTGAGCTAAATAATGGGAGTAGGGTGTTTCTTCTATAATATTCATCATGTAAATTATTGGGATGATCATACACATATTGGAGATCAATAATATGATGTAGAGGGTTGACTTGTTCCAAATAAATTAGAATGAGTACAAAGAGACATCTTATGACAAAGAGATCAAAAGTGAGACCCACCCATGTCTAAAAACATCTCATGGAGACCATACCAATTCATTTCACTCCACACAACTTATCCACCCTTATTGAAGGGTCTTGGACACTCCCTTAAGCCCCTCATTCGAACTCCCAAGGATAAGGGAGAAGGAGAGAGCCACACAACCAAGAAAGCAAGAGAAAGGGGAAGCTGCCGCAGGTTCGTTCTCTAGTGCGTAAGGTTACTTGTTTGCTTCATATCTCGAGTTATACACATCCAAATAAGGCGTGCGAGATACCCACAGAAAGCTCTCAAGACGAGGAATCCGTGAAGGTCTGGTTTGCATCAATCGGAGTAGTGGAAGGCTTACAAATCGTCCGAGCAAAATACAACCTCGCGGAATACGTTTTTGTATTCAAAGTAAGTTTGAATCCAAAACCTTCCTCTCTATTGTCTAAATCACATAAATGATTGAAGAATTATTATACACTGATTGAAGTGTATGAAATGTTATTATAAAGTGACTTTAATTGTTAGAAAGGTTAGATACTAACCTACACAAAACCTTGAAAGGTTAGGGAACGAATTCATCGGGAAACACTCGTTCTAGGGACTGTTTTTGTGTCTTCGGTTAGGAGTTGAACTAGCACTTTGAGGGGGCTGTCTAACACTCAATTCCAAGCAAGGAATCAGTTCTCAAACTTCCTTGGCCGGGACTTTGGTCATTGGATCAAGAAGGAAAGGTTTTAAAGCTCATTTGAGGTGAGGACCGACATCTAGTTGCTTACAACTTGTAGGTTATGCATGAGATTACCTAAATGTTTAAATCATGTTTTTATGAATAAAGAGGCTTGAACATGATATGAATGATAAGCAATGGACTTGATCATGAATTGAAAACATATTGATGAATATGGAGTCATATGAGATAGAAGTATGTTAATATGGTAAAACGACCTTTCCAACTCATGTATGAATGTTATGTGTATGTAATTGTATAATTGCATGATGATGCTTAGCACATGGGAGGCTGCCACATATCTATTGATATGGGGGGCTACCATTAAGAATAAATGAGTTGTAGGAATAATCTTAATAGTATTGTGATGCTAGTTAAGGATTGTTCTAAATGTCGATAGAATCAAACTTAAGGTTTGAGTTTGTTTGTGATGAACTTGAATGAGATTCAAGTGTCAATTGTGAAATCATGGAGTAGGAGATCTATGGTGTGATTTTATGAAGTAGGAGATCTATGGTGTGATTTTATGAAGTAGGAGATCTATGGTGTGGTTTTATGAAGTAGGAGATCTATGGTGTGGTTTTATGAAGTAGGAGATCTATGGTGTGATTTTATGAAGTAGGAGATCTATGGTGTGATTTTATGAAGTAGGAGATCTATGATATGATTACATGAAGTAGGAGATCTATGATGCGAGTGCATGATTGATGTACTCGAGCCGAACTCTAGAAATGAGAAGTTGTATTAGGGTTGGACCCTATGTATGTCGTGACCATTAGTCACGGGGTTTGGGAAATGTTTTGTGATAAACATGGGCCTTGAGCCGACTACTTGACTTTATATATATAAAGTAAGTATAATTTAAAAGGGGTAACTTGGGGTTACGGCCCAGATTATATTATCACCCTATTTGAGGGTCTTGTGTTTGAAATACTTGTTGTATATCTATTAGATGCCATCCACACCAGCACTTTATAGCCCTAAAGAGTGCTGACCCCTTCGGGGGCGTCCCACCACCATTTTTCAGGTTGAGGCTAGAGCTTGCTTCCTGTGCTCGTTGCTCGAGAGATCATCTAGGAGGGAAGACTTGGTTCGTGCTTCCTCCATTCGTTTTTTAAAACATTAATAAACATGCTCATGGATATTTTACTTTAGAGCCTGCGTGCTCATGAATAGCCCTGTGTGGCCCTTTGTTTTAAACAATGTTTTCCGCTGCGTTATGAATTACTTATTATGTTTGTTTATGGATGTTACGTGTGTGAATGATATTCAAGACGCCTTGTATAATATGAATGTGTTGGACTGCGGTTGACTATTCGTATTGTACGGCGGGTTGTTGACGTGTCCGGGGAGGTCCGGGGCGTGACACAACTAGCCTCTCCTTGAAGCGGTTGACACTGCCATCCGCATTACGTTTGACCCGGAACAACCATTTACATGTAATGGGAGTATGATGGTTGCGAGGGACCAACTCCCACGTGTTGTTACGCTGAAGAGCTGCATATTCTTCGTCCATAGCGGCCTTCCACTTTGGATCCTGGAGGGCTTGTTTTACATTGGCCAGTTCAAGGATAGGGGGTATGGGGTGAAGGGTAGTATGATTAACATATGATTCCCCAAAAAATTTTGGATTTTGTTTTCGGTGACGTTGGGTTCTAGGCTGGGAGACCGAGGGTGCAGTAGTTTGTTGAGTGCTGGCAGATGGGTGAGTGATTGATGTCGTGGAAGTGTAATTAGAAGGAAGAGTGGGGATGTGAGGTGGATTTATTTGGGCAGGAGGTGTGGTGTATGAGATAGGTGGATGCAGTGGGTTTGTTGGGGATAAGGATAAGGACGTAGGGTTGGATGATGGTGGATGGGATAGGATTGATTTTTGAGGAGGGGAAATTAATAGGGTGGGGAATGGGTGCTGGCCAGATAAGTCACGATATTGTAAGTTGGAGGGGACCACAATGCCAAGTGACGGGGAGGTAGAATGCTTAATTGAACCGTACACATTGTTATGCATGGAAGTGCATGGCCCAGATGACATAGAGGAAGGACTGGATGTGGACGACTTAAGAATGGAAAAATGTGAGGAATGAAACGAACGTGACGAGATACGTACACATGTCCACTATTGACATCTAGACACAAATAGGCAGATTGTGAAGAGCAGTATCCCAAAAAGACACACGGGATAGAGGAGGTTGAGTTTTGGTGGACGAGTACGGTCGTAACCAGGGGTAACATAGGCATCCGAAAGGTTGCAATTTTTTGTAATTTGGCGGTTTATGATAAAGGCGAGTGAAGGGAGTATTGTTGTTGAGAACAGGAGTAAGAAGCCGATTAATGAGATAAACGGCTGTCTGAAAAGCATAAGGCCAATAAGAGAGTGGTAATCCCGAAAAATGAAGTAGTGTGAGGCCGGTTTCAGCAATGTGGCGGTGCCGACGCTCAGCTATGCCATTATGTTCGGGTGTATGAGGTGGGGTGGTGAGGTGAGAGATTCCATGTTGGTTGAGATAAGATTTTAATTTAATATATTCACCACCATTATCAGAGAAAAAAGATATTATTTTAAAATTAAAAAATTTCTCAACCAAGCGATGGAATTGGGGAAAAATAACAGAGACCTCCGATTTTTGCTTCATTGGATAAAACCAAATGTACCTAGAGTAAAAATCAACAAAGATAACATAGTACTTGTAACCATCTAGAGAAATATCACTAGTGGACCAAACATCGGAATAAATCAATTCCAGGGGTTTGGTAGCAATTAGAGAATTCCTAAAAAATGGCAATTTAGTACTCTTATTTATGGAGCAGGAATTACAATGACTGGACGTAGATATATTATTGGGAAACATGGCTTTATTTTGATGGACTAGAAGACTAAATATTTGCTGGGACGGGTGACCAAACACATGATGCCAAGGTGTCAATGACTGGACTTGAGACGAATGGATTTCTGGTGGAGATAGGGCTGATGCCGGTGCATAATATACGTCGTTACGATTCTCCCCGCGAAGAAGATGCGCCCTCGTGACTCGGTCCTTGACAAGAAAATAAGAAGGAAAAAATTCAACAGAAACTGGATTAGTTTTACACAATTTTGCAACTGAGATTAAATTTTTACGTAATTGGGGAACACACAAGATATTAGATAAAGATAGCGGTCGGGTGGGTGTGGAAAGGGTGGATTGGCCAGTGTGGGTAATTGGTAGAGACTTACCGTTGCCAAGTTGAACCTCTTCAGGACCGCCGTAGTCGGCGTATGTCGGAAGTTGTGAGACATCAGACGTAACATGGTGGGAGGCTCCACTGTCAAAAAGCCATGGTTGGCTAGAAGAAGGTGTTGTCATGGTAGTGTTGACACTTGGTGTGGCAGGAACTGAAACCTGATAATCACGTAAGAACCTCTGAAGTTTTTGGCATTGTTTAACTTCATGTCCTATGTTGTCGCAGAATCGGCAAATAATAGTTATAGCCGCTGAACGAGAGGTGGCTTGATGGGGTCCTCCACGTTCGCGACGGGGAAAAGAACCACGTCGAACATTCTGGTGGTGCATGCGTGAGTCATTTGGGGAGGGCCTGACATGCATCTGCGTAACATGTGCTGTAGGTAATATCTCATACGGGGCACTGGAATTCTCCTGGAGATGGCCTTCTTGCTCCAGTAAGATATCTTGGAGTTGGGTGAGAGGAAGGGCAGTCTCCCGGACACGTATAGCTGATGTTAATTCACTATACTCCGGGCCAAGACCATTTAAAATGTTGATGACCAGGTCTTCATCAGACAGAGGGTTTTGTGCCAGGGCGAGTGCTTTGGCTAAGGCATACATTTCGGGAAGGTAAGCGGTGATAGATCGTGATCCCTTTTTCGTACGAGCCAGCGTGGTCTTGAGCGAAATGATTCGACCACGAGAGGTGCTAGCATAGGTGAGAGCAAGCTTCTCCCATGCCGATCTCGCACTAGAGGCGGATGAAATAAGCGGCTGGATAGTGTCGGAGCAGCTTCCTAGGAGAGCGCTGAGAATGGTTTTGTCTTGCCGATACCAGATGGTATAGCAGGGGTTGAGAATGGTTTTGGCAGCGTCGGTGAACTGATCGGGGATGGTGATAGTACCATCAACATAAGACTCTAGTCCAAGTCCAATAAGAGTGGCATGAACTTGAGATTTCCAAACTGGGAAGTTGGAAGAAGTGAGTTTGATAGGGAAATGGGTTGTGGCCGTGATAGAGATGACACTAGTGTTTTCGGTGATAACCATGATCACAGAGGTGAAGACGGTGGCTAGAAAAAAAATTAATGGAATGCTCTCGTTAGAGATGTGGCTCTGATACCATATAGAAATATTGAATGTGATGATTTCATATGAGTACATACGGTACATATTTATACATCAAGGGATAGGTAGAGATAAGCTCTACGTAACTATACGGGCGACTATGTAGAGGAGCTAATTATGCTATACAATAGGAAGTGCTAACTATGCTACATAATAGGGAATGCGTAACAGCCATAGAGATAAGCGATACATTATGTACGTAAGTGCTAGAGTATATCCTGGAGATATAATATGTACACAATAATAATAATGTGCTAATAGAAATTAAGTGATACTCCGTACTATTTAGCTTTTCTATTAAGCTTTATATCGTGCCTAGTTTTGATTAATAGTTTGGAGTTAGACATGGTATTATTTCTTTAATTTTGATCAATAGGAGTCAAGTTCGTGTCAGGATAGGTGGAAAGGAAATTGAAATGGTGTAATATTGCTCTTTAAAAGGTGATTGATGATATGTGTGATCCTAGAATTAGTGATAGTGATTTTTTGTTGATTGTCTTCTCAATTTTCAATACAAATTTTTTACATAAAAAAAAACTAATACTAGTACGGAGTATGTAGTACGTAGTAATATAACAAAAACACTAATGAAATTATTCTAACAAATAAAATGAAATTGACAAATACAGAGTAGAATCTGCGGTAGGGGTGAAGGGAGTATATATTACCGTAAGCCCAAGGATCGGAGCTAAACAATCTGGGCTGGTCAAAGGCAGCAAAGCATGCGTTGCCAATCATCTTATGTTCTTAACTTATAATTCCTAGCTATATATATAACACCCAATCACTCCTAAGTTTTCATAATACAATTCATTTATATTTATATACTCGCAAATAAACAGTTTTTCATTGCCTTTTGCTTTATTTATCATCAGATATATTTATATTTAGATTAAAGATGTCTAGCACTCAGTACACTGCTGGTCAATCCTGTGGAGAAACTCAGGTTTCAATTAGAAAAAATAATAACTTTGTGTGTAATATTTCATTATTCCTCTTGTTCTGTAATCTCTACTGTGTCACATGATCAAATTTTGGGGTTTTAAAAACCTAAAAACCAGATTTTGAATACCGGACAAAACGTTTTCCCATTTTCCATGGAGTGATTTTAAAATTAACATTTAAGATGAATAGTTTCAGCATTAGTTTTAATGTTAGCCTATAATGATGAATACTTTGGCACGAATTGACCGATGAATGTGTATTTTGCAACTTCTGAAGTTTGATCTACCGTGATTTACTTAGATTTGAGGTTTAAATCATTTCAATTAAAAACATCTTATAACCACACTTAGTAATCTTAATTACTCCACCCTTTTTTAAACGTTTTTCTTATTTAGTCTTCCCCAAAATTCTGTCATTTAATTTGCCTAAGCAAAATTTGTGTTTATTATCATTGACGTAGTATATCATTTCTTACTTTCTTGGTACATGCACAAATCAATTGGCCAACTTTTGTTAAATAAGGAGCATGTTGATCGATGAGGTGGATGCTCCATATATTTTGGCAAACTTGTTTCATAACGTGTTTTACACTTTTACCGGCCGATATAGTGTATCCTCAACGTGCTACACATATTTTCCGCATTTTTATTTGTTAATATATACTGTGTACTAGGCATGGACCGCTTCCGGGCCGGTCCAAACCAGGCTTTTATTTTTTAGGGGCGGGCCCGGATCCGTCCCGGTTTGCAACCGGGTCTGGCCAGCCCGGTCCGAAAGGAAGGGTAGGCCCGAAACCGGACCGCTCTAACACACCGGGCCGGTCCAGGCCCGCACAATGGCGGGTCGAGCCGGTTCCCGAGCCTGTCCGGGCCCGCACAGTGGCGGGTCGGGCCAGTTCCCGAGCCTGACCGACCGGAACCAGTCCATGCCTACTGCGTACTATGTATTATTAAATTATGTAGGAAAAACTGTCAATTTGCTCCTCGAACTTTTATGAAACAGTCAATTAGGTCTTCTTTTAAAAAAATCAATCAAATCCTCGAACTTTGTAAAACGTTCAATTGAGTACGTTTGCAGGTTATTTGTCATGTCAGCAGGTCACCCCGCTAACGTGGAGCACACATGACAGACTTTGACAGTCCACTTGTGCGCCACATCATCAGTAAATGGCTGACCGGACTTCCACACGTGTGCCACGTCAGCAAAATTATTGCTGATTGGGCTGTCACATGTGCGCAACGTCAGCGGGTGACCTGCTAACATGACAAGTAACCTGCAAATGGATTCAATTGAACGTTTTTACAAACTTCAAAGATTTGATTAATTGTTTTAAAAGTACAAGGACCTAATTGACTTTTTCATCAAAGTACGACGACCAAATTGACAGTATATCGCATTTATGTATATGTGTTTGAGTCATTAATAATTAATATGCATTGTAATTTGGGAATATAATTATCATTAAAATGAGGTGCGTTGTGTTATGTGTAGGCAAAGACAGAGCAATGGGCAGAGTCGGCGAAGGGAACGGCGAGTTCTGCTGTAAGCAAAGCAGAAAACGCAACCCAGAACGCCCAGCAATCGGCTCAGGAGAGAAGGGCGGAGGAAGGGGAGACCGGATTCCTCCAGCAGACCGGCGAGCAAATGATCAGCATGGCTCAGGGCGCCATTGACGGCGTCAAAAACACTCTTGGAATGGGTGACCAGAAGAAGTGATTGATCCAAACCAAACACCTTAGCTGTTTTCTATTCATTATTTAATTCAGGAATAACATGCAATAATGATAGCAACAATAATCAATAATGTATGCTTCAATAGGAAATTGGAATTGTAGGTTTTAATATGTGTATTTTTTCCCATTTTTATGTCATCTCTGACAATGAGCATTTGGAATGTAACGCCGCTGTGTGGCAAACAAGACTTTAATCAGCAGATGCGATAAGATATAGAAATTTCTGTTTTTGTGCAATTACTTGCGTGTACTTTCACTCCATTTCATATTTTGACTACAATAAAATACTCCCACCTTCCCAATTTATTTTAGTCCCTCTCCTTGTGTTGCTGTCTGTTTCTTGAACAAACAAAAAGAATTACGAAAACTATGAAAAGTGAAGTTTTCCAAATTTACCGGCCGATAAGTATAAGTGTGTCACGTTCTAATTCACATGCAAGTACTCTCTAATTAAAAACTATATGCCATTATACCCAATGAGGTCTAACAAGTTGTTGCATACTTTTTCAGACCCACCTCATCAGTGGAGGACCTAGGGGATCCTCGGGGACAAGTGCCCACGCTTCCCGAAAGTTAGTATTAGTGCTTATAAAATATGCCCCCACTTCTTGATATGAAATTATGAATATTAGATCAGATTCATAATAACTCTGTTAAAGAGCATATGTAAATTGTTACATTTAAATAACTACGAAGTTACGATGAAGCGACTTCATACAGTTAGACATGTTCCTGAAACGATTATTCTTTGAAAAGTGATATTGAAGATTATTTTTGTGAAGTACGAATTGTCTATTTCCAAAAGGTGACAACTCCGGTACCTTTCTAAAAAATGGGGGTACCGTACCTACCACTCATTTGATTGGACCACATCACTTTATTATTTTTAATTTAGATTTAAATAATTCAACTACTACATTTTCATTGGTCCATTTGAACAAAGGTACGGTACCTTTACGGTACCATAGAATCTACCTTTCCAAAATTAGAAGTCAATGATATGACGAGACTTCTAATATGTGTGGTGAGCTCAATGATTCTAAGATTATCTTAAATGAAATTTCATATACAAGCTAGATATATCCATTGTTTTCTTACCAACTACAATTAGTTGTTGTGGCTATTGCACACACCAAAAATTTGTGGATACTTTCTTTGGATATTTCTCCATGGTTATGTTACTAAAACGTTGGGATCCTCTTATAAAATAAAGGGCGTATTTGGACAAAAACAACATGATACCATAAGAGAGTTATTAGAAAAGAGTGTACTAATAACAAGCGGGAGATAATTGAATCAAGAAATTAAAGTACGTAGTTTAGCTCGGCCGGAAGTTACATGTTGGGGTTCACGATTTAATCCCAAGTTGATGAAGGAATTTTGGACACTGTAATTCTGTGGCACGACGTGTAACGTTAAACACTATCCTAGTTCTAAATCAAAATTCTGACTGTTGTAGTACAAAAATCACTTGAATTATAATCCAAAACAAGAAATGATGTCAAGATGATTCAGTTCTAATTCATATGAAGTATTATGTTTTCCTTTCAAGAAAATTACTATTATGTGGCGGACCTGTTGTACATAGATGCAGTGTAAACGATTTGAAATTGAAACTGAATAACTTGTTTTAGTTTTAAAAAAAGTTGTCTACACATTCAATAACTTAGTCTCACACTCGACCCAGTCCGTCTTTGTCCATACAGTAGTGTTCTCACTTAAGAAAAGTTCTAGGTCCGCCACTGCCCCATTAACTTTTCTATTCTCATTGCACTCCAAAGAAATTCGCATGTATGTTTGGCATGAATTCGTCAAATCGTGGCAAATTATGTGTCATAGCCGTTTGTGATAAGCTATTTCGCACGTGTAAAAATTGTATTATGATATGTGACTATGTGTCAAACTTGATTAATCTATGCCAAGTTCATATCAATATCTTTTTTGTAGTGGTGTGTTAATATATACGAGTAACATTGTATCAAGTAATTTATAGTACATTATACGTAGTATAATATTTATTATACGAAGTATAACTTTGGTTATGCTTATTTTTTGCATTGTTTTTTCACATACAATTTTGACATGTTTATTTAGTGTATTAGTAAAGCAAACCAATTTAGAATGGTCCAAAACAATATTGTGAATACCTTCACGTCACAAAGAATGAAACAAGGATCCGTTTTTTGTTTTGTGGTTTATATTGTTTCTAAACGAGACTTAAGGTCCATTCTAAAATGCCATAAAGCTTTATTTATTTGTTTGTATTTTTAGACGCAAAAATTGTTCTATAACCGAGTAAGTCTCAACAATGAGCACACAGACTAAGAGCCCGTTTGGTAGCACGAAAATCGACTGTTTTGGCTGTTTCTGCTGAAATTTATGAAGTTCTGGCTGAAGTGGCTGTTTTGGCTGATTCTGCTGATTCTAGAAAAAAATATTTTAAAAATATATTTTATTGATAAAATAAAGAAAAAATTATATGTAAAAATAGCTAAAATGGTCATCTACAGTAACTTCAGCCAATACAGCCACAAAAGTAACTCCAACCTTACTTTTTCTGCTTATTACACAATTCAGCACGCGAAAGTAAAAATTACGTGTTTGGTGAAAAAGCTGGCTGATAAGCCTGATAAGCCGAAAAAAGGGGTCTCCAAACGGGCTCTAAAAGATTGTCATACTACATACGAGCTAGGCACCATCTTCCACGACGAATGAAGCTGTCTCAGGCCAGTTGCACATAAAAATACAAACCAACATAATATAAAATTTTGGACCGATCAAGTTAACTTTGTAGGGTGGAACCCGGGTTTTAACATTTTTTACATAAATTTTAACAGAAATTGACCTAAATAGGAGTAAAAATATTTTGAAATTCCAAAATAGGAGTATCATGTTTTTTATTCCCTGAATAGGAGTAAATTTCTGCCAAGTTTGGCATTACAAGACTTTTAAACATGGCATTTTCTTCCAAACTTGGCAGATTACTCCTATTCAAGGAATAAAAAACATGATACTCCTATTTTGGAATTTCAAAACGTTTTTACTCCTATTTAGGGAATTGTCTCAAATTTTAATCATAGTTCCACTTCTTATTTGCTCCGTCAAAATAGTAAACCAGTTTCGAAGGGAAGAAGTAGCAGTATTTAAATCCACAAAATTACAAAGAATTAAATCAAGATCGAGAAGGATTACTCTTTAATTTAATGCAAATATGGTTATATTTGTGTTGGTGTTCTAGATGTTTTATACACACCACAACACTAAACGGATTTCTGTCAAAATATATGACAAGAAGAAATGCACTGCTATAAGCCTATAAACATTCAATTATTCTATGATATGCTTTTCATATACGATATATATTACATAAAATAGTTACAAAACACAACTTAAGCACGCCCTAGCTTGTTGTGAAACATAATCTTCAAGCTTTGTCTCAGGATATCCACTTCGCTTTCCCTCTTCAATACTTGTTGCTCCAATAATGCAATTCTCGATTCTAGAAGCTCAATGCTTTCTTCCTTGGCTCTCAACTCCTTTTCCACATCTTCCTCATAGGTTCTCCTCCATGCTCTTTCTCCTGTCATAAAAGTATATTCCTGTCAATGTCACTGTAGTACTAAAAAGGGTCCCTAAACCGTAGTACCCGCTTAGTCCCGTTCAAAGGTTCTCATTGTAAAATAACACAATTATTTAGACAATAATTAAATATGATAATTTGTACATTTGGAGAAATAATTTTGATGGTTATATAATATAATGAGGTCATTTATGATAACTGTGATCTTATAAATGTATTATTTTTAATACTTGACCATTAAATTGTCATTTAAGAGTATAAATTGTTTCTTAAAATGGAAATGAGAACCATTAAATAAAACTTCCCAAAAAGGAAACTCAAATAGTATTCCTCTGTCCCATTTTACCTGTCTTACTTTTCTTTTTGGGTTGTCCCAAAATAAGTGTCACATTTCCCCTTTTGGAAGAAATATGTGGTTCATAACATTTCACTTTAGTATACTCAAATCTCAACTACAACTTTTACTTTTCAACCACTTTATTAAAATTGTGGCAAAAGCAAAAGAGACACATAAAATGAGACGGAGGTAATAGTATCCTGCCTCCATCATGTACAACTTTGCCATCTTTCATTTTGAGATGTCTAAAAAAACTTTGTCCTTTTTTTGTTTTAGTCTACTACTAATTTATGGTTTCTATTACTACTTTCTCATGTGTACAAACCTCAATCACATAATTTTACTTTATTATTCTCAAATGACAATCAAACTTTGCAAAATATTAAAAGACGAGTGAATACCATATCAAATAAACAAGCCATGATTAATCAAGGATATGAAATGATTATGAAGTCAAAGTTAAAGTTAGAAATTTCAATATATAGCAGTCAAGTACTCTGTGTCAAAATCCAGATCAATTAGATCACTTGCCTTGACTGGTTCTAAGAATAAGATGATCCAACTCAACCTTGATGGAAAAATATAGCTGCTTCCACTTCTCAACTGCTTCATCTCTCCTGGCTTGATCCTCCCTGATGTGGTGAACCAGATAGTTCTCCCCACCATTCTCACCCAAACTTTCTGCATCTCTTTTCTTACTTTCCTCCAAAACATTCCTCATCTTCTTCACTTCCTCCTTGAGCTTCTTCCTCTCCCTCGCCCACTCGGCTTCCTTAACGGCGAAAAGCGCCATCTCCTGCTCATACATTCGGCTCTCTTTCTCCCTCAAACACACCATTTCTTCCACCTCATGCTGAAGAATCCTCACCTTATACTTCATTCCTTCCACAACCTTTTCGTCATATGGGAACTTTTTGCATTCTCCTTTGGTTTGAGCACTTCCCATGATTTAGCTAGCTATCCAATGAGCTAAGCTAAGCTAAGAGAGCATAGACTAAATAAGGTGTTCTTGGATCACGGGAAAACAGGGGAGGCGCTGAGAGTGTAATGAAGGCCCGCTCCTGTCATGAAATGTTGTTTTTCTAGGGATGTGGACAAGTTAAGTGTTGGGCCTAATATGAGTAAAAGATTGGTCCAAATGTGAGTAATGATGCCTTGTTATCATCAAAATGGAACTTATTTAATTCTATTAATTTCATCAAATTTCCGGAGTTAAAATGAATAAGATAGTGGTGTTTGAGAAAAATGTTTTTGAAAAAAGTAAAAGTTGTTATTGTTGGGAAAAATTAGTACTTTTTTGTACATAAAAAGTGAAAAGTAGCTTAAAATATTCTTCCACTCACTTCTAGCTTTTAAGTGTTTAATTTAAGTAGAAACTATCACTTGAAATCATTCATTTCAGCATTTCTTAAGCCAAAAGGTGATTTTTTTGCAAATACTCCCCAAGTCATATTGTAAGAAGAAAAATAATAATGGTTATATTTATGTATTTTTTATACGTTTCATTCGTATTTAAGGAAATCTTTCATAAGCGAAACTACTAGAAAATATGCGAGTGCTATGGTACCTCATAAATAATTGATCTAAAACATCAATAACGATGTTTTTACTTGGACTGTAATTTGCTAGTCTGGTCTGATCTAGTCTGGTTTCTTTGTATTTTTATAACTATCCAAGTCTGGTCTGGTCTGGTCTGGTCTAGGACAAATTACAGTCCAAGTAAAAACATCCTAAAACATTCCAAAGATTCTAAATAGGAGCTATATTATTTTCTTTTTAAACAGGATTAGTGCATTTAGGAAAATCTTTGTTCTATAACTTATAATTGAACTACATAAATCCTATTTTGATAAGGACATATACTTTGAATGTTTGAACTCGGTTGTAATTTTCTAGTCTAGTCAGGTCTGAATAGTTTAAGTCAATCTATTGTGTTTGGTGGAATTGCTTTGATCTTATAGATGGCAGTTCTATCTGTAGTTTACAACTGAGGAAATCTGTCTATCTAATCTGAATTGGTTTCATATTTTTAATCTAATTTGATTTGGTTAGATGCCGTCTAAACTGGTTTCATCTGATTATTTATTTAATTCAGGTCGGTATGTTTTATTCTTATTTTAAACATTTGATAATACTATCAGTATCCTTGTGAATGGGCAATTCAAAAATTCTGTTGTCCCCTTTTCGGATTTTAGTAATCCCGTGACAGATTCTAACTGATTGGTGTCTTCTAAGTGTGGGGTTTTAAAATGGATGGGTTATGAGCAGTAACGAACTAATAGTAGTCTCTTTGTCGATGCATATTGACTCCATGACAAAAAAGGGCATTAACGAATGTGTTACATACTATGTAGCACCGATACCGGTACGCGGAAACGCGGAAACGGGTACAAGGATACGTCAAAACCAAAAAAGTAGGATACGGATACGGGGCCATATTTAAATATTAAAAGTTATGGGGGTGTATTTACAAATATTAAAAGTTATAGGGGTCTATTTATAAATATCAAAAATAGTTTATATATATATAATATCCTATTATGTCTACTCATTCATTGCATTGAAGCATTTTCCTTTTTCAAGATAATTAGTAATAAATTCATAATATTTCTCATATACACTAGTGCATCTCGGATATAGCCATATAGGCCCATTATTTGATTAAAGTAAAATGTAGTTTTAGATTTTCATTTTTTTTAGAATTTTATTAAGTAAATTTTGGGATTTTTTGTTTAAAAAAAAGTTGATACGGGTATCCGTCAGGATACGAGTATCGGAAACTTTCAAAAAATTACAAAAAAAATGGAAACTTTTAAAAATTGCAGAGACGGCCCGGGAACGTACGGTACGGGTATCCTAGAGTATCGGATACGGGAACGTATCGGATACGCCGATACGCTACCCTAGGGAAGTATCCGTGCTTCATAGGTTACATACCTTTTCTTCCTTATTGTTTTTCCTTTTCTTTACATCTTCTACTTTCTTTTGTTTCTTAAACGTTTGGTTAGCCCATACTTGTTGATACAAATCATTTAAATAGAATGTTTCATTCGATTTCATTTGAGGGTTCATCTTCTTCTTTAAATTTATTAACACGACGTCCCACGGTAACTTTTAAGCAAACCTCAAAATAACTCTATTGCATAAAAATAGTTTTGGCGTGATAAAAGAATTCGACATTCCATCATATATACTTCATGTATCGTTATTAATACTACATAATGTCTCCTATATATTATAAAAGTATATACTTAGACACGTAGTATATAGGAACTTGTCATTCATTTTTAGACTGTTAATTACTTTATTTAAGTTTGACACAAGGAATTGAAGTAGTTCGATACAAACGATTATTGCGCGACTTTGTATACATTGTTTCATGTTACACAACTTTCTGGAACTACGACTGTGATGTTTGTCTAACAGTTTTCGATTGACCACCTTGAATACATGATGGCTAATAGGTGTGGACATGTCTTAAGTTTTACTATTAATTTCATCAGACGCATCTAATGAAGGTGAGAGTTGTTGATGGCACCACACATGCTTCATTCCTTCTATTGGATTGAGAGGTTTCATGTTTGTTAGGGAGGTCTGCTTCTTCCTTCAAAGACCAAATATCAAAGGTATTAAATTTATCTAAACTTCTTTTGGATTCACAAAAATTTGGCCATCAACTCTAGGATGACACCATAACTTTTTGTTCTGTTGTACGTGGAGAAACTTTGGTTCACACTACTTCCCTTTGGAAATTAATGCCCTCATGGATACCAAAGCTCTGTTCCGTGTTCAATACAAGATGGACATCAAGAATAACAAAGGAAATCAAACCTTCAATGTACTTAGGATGAATATGGACTCTATTAAGGTGTTATCCCTATATGCTTCTTAAATAAACATACTGGGAGGTTTGTTTTTTGATTTAATAGATGTGGTTTTCAGAGACTTGGATTATATTAACAAATAATAATACGGTAATACCATTTATTATTTGAACTAACGTTTGGTCGCGCCAGGCACGATAGCTTCTGCCCAATGTTAAAGTAATATTACCTCAAACAAATAACTACTTTACCAAAGTATGAGATGTCATATTATGTGAGATTTTAATGGGGCGTAGGGTAAGGATCAATTGAAGACAAAATATTTTTTTCAAATAAATTATTATAGTTGTGTTATTGCCTACCTATATATATGAAGATATTGATCTAGTGCTATGGTGCAAGTTTAATTTTAGTGTTTATTGAATTTCATGTTTTTGTAAAGGGAATTGCACATTTAAATTACTCCGAGCAATATAAAGCGATATTGTAAGATTAAACGATTTTCACTATACTTGATACAAACCTAAATAACTGATGCAACTTAATTTGCTAATTGACTTCTTTGTTAACCCAAAAGCATGAGGGGCTCAATAAAACGCTTATAAGAACACTAATAAATTATTACACTATTTGTAAACGTATGTATGCACAACTCTCATGCGACATGCATCTATATCGTTGCCAAATGAGCTAGTATACATGCTCTCTAATCATTTTGGAGGCATAAACCACTAGTGTAATATAATCTCTTAGTGTAATATACTCTTTTAGTGTGTGAAAGTGTCATAAACCATTTAAATTTCTCATAGTTATTCTATATGCTGTCAGGGGCGTCTTTATCATTTTGGAGGCCCAGACAAAAAAAACTTTATATAAGAGATCATATCATTTTAATTTCTATAACATAAAAACTGCTACTAACCATTTGAACTCGAATCACGAGCAATCAAATTGTTTCTAATACTCAACTTAATCCTTTTTGTACATCATACTACGTAAGTGTTTCTTTACACATCATGACATACCTAATATTTATATATATTAGAAAAATCACAAACAATCAATCCAACCAAAAAAACTAAAGTTCAGAAATGAAATAATTAGTGACAATCTCATAAACAAACAAAATACGAGGCCGTTTGAAAACAATGTTTTTCGACTTATTAGTCAACTTTTCACCAAACACGTAGCTTTTGCTTTCACATGCTGAATTGTGTAATGAGCAAAAAAAGTAAGGTTAGAGTCACTTTTCTGACTGTATTGGCTGAAGTTACTGTAGATAATCATTTTAGCTACTTTTACATACAGAATATTTTTTCTTTATTTTATTAATAAAATATATTTTAAAGATAATTTTTTCTTAAATCAGCAGAATCAGCCAATGTAACCACTTCAGCTAGAACTTCATAAATTTCAGCAGAATCAGCCAAATCAGCCGATTTTCGTGGTATCAAATGGGCTCTACATAGTTTACTACGGTACTAGTCTACCACTATCCAATTAGGTAAAAACTACTTCAATATCTTATAAGCTACAAGCAAAATTACTTCAATTATTTATACTCCCAATATGTCATACTTCGTATATACGTAGTATAACTTAATTTACCAATACATCAAATTACTTAAATTACCAAGGAACAACCCCCAATATGTCAATATTACCTCAAGTCCTTGTTTCTTTTGAAACGCAGAGAGCCAGAGGCATATTTTCATTCTTTTAATGAAAAATGTTAATATTAGTTTCTTGAGATATTACCCTAAATAGGATTAAAAAGGTTTGAAAATTCCAAAATAGGACTGTCATGTTTTTATTCCCAAAATAGGACTAATTACTGTCATATTTTGACAGTACCAGACTTCAAACATGACTGTATTTTCCAAACTTGACAGTAACTACTCCCTATTTTGGGAATAAAAAACATGACGGTCCTATTTTGGAATTTTCAAACTGTTTTAGTCCTATTTCGGGAACTTTCCCTTCTTTTAATGATGTTACTCTTATTGTTTGATAAAACAGTATGTCAGTATTTAAGCAGATTTGAAGGGAAGAATTGAAGCGCGCCATTTCATTTAGCCGCTAAAAATGATGATCTTACCGTTCACAGCTGCCGTTAGTACAAAATTTTCTTGTTCCTTTCATTACTCCGTTAACGAAACCCCTGAAACCTCTAAAAGACCTCGACAAAAATCCAATCTCAAATCCAAATTCCAGAGACCATTATCTACACCAGCACAGCTAGTGAATTCGAGAAATCAACCTCCATCAAAACTCGAAGCTCTTGAAAATATCCTCTGTGATATAGAATCCTCTCTAGAGAAGGGCGTTGACATTAATGACCCAGGTATATTTTCATCCCTTCTTGAGGCCTGCTTCAATTTACAAGCGTTTGATTTTGCCACCCGAATCCATCGCGTCATTCCTCACAAGCTGTTACGTAAGAACACTGGCATCTCATCGAAGCTTCTCAGGCTGTATGCAGAGGATGGTCGCGTGGAGGATGCCCATGAGCTGTTTGATAAAATGCGCGATAGACATTCTTCTGCATTTCCGTGGAATTCACTTATATCAGGTTATGCAGAGAGGGGTTTGTTCGAGGATGCATTGGCGCTTTACTTTCAGATGGTGGAAGAGGGTGTGGAACCAGACCTGCACACTTTTCCTCGTGTGCTTAAAGCTTGTGCAGGAATTGGGCTGATCCAGGTCGGGGAGGAGGTTCATCGTCATACCATTCGTTCTGGGTTTGGGAAAGACAGGGTAATTCTTAATGCACTTGTTGTTATGTATGCCAAATGTGGTGATATCGTTAAGTCTAGAAACATGTTCAATCAAATTCCAGAAAAGGACTTGGTTTCGTGGAACTCTATGCTTGTAGGTTATATTCGGCATGGCCTTGTATTGGAGTCGCTGGATGTGTTTCGTACCATGATGCATGAAGGCTGCAAGCCCAACTCTATCTCTATATCAGCTATACTCAGCAGCTTAAAACTGCTCCGTGTAAGGTGTAGTTTCATTCACCCTATTTAATTTGTTCATTATTAAGTCAATGAGATCAAACCGGCCAGACCGAAAACATTCAGACAAGAGATTCAGATTATATAAAAAAAAAACATTTTGACTACACTAAAAAGAACCGACCTTATCCAAAACATCCAGACTAAACAAAAGTAACAAAACTAGAAATATTCATATCATATCGAATACATTCAAAATTTCAAACTAAACCAGAAAGGTTCAGATTTGAGATCACAACAAACAAAAAAGTTATATTTCCCACGTAGAAATTTTTTGAGATAAAAACATTCAAACTAGACCAGACCAGAACCAAAATGATTCAGAAAAGACTAGACCACATCATGAATAACATAGATAACATCACTTTTCAGGAAAAGAGAGCAGGTCCTAAAACTGGGATCCCAAATTCATGGATGGGTTCTTCGTCATGGAATTGAATGGAATAATTTATCAGTTGCAAACTCAGTGCTTTCCTTTTATTCTTCTAATAGTGTCAACAGGCTCAAACAAACGAGATGGTTGTTTGACCAGATGCTTGAAAGGGATGTTGTGTCTTGGAATTCAATAATTTCAGCTCACTCCCAGGACCGTGAAGCCCTTGCTTACTTCCAAAGTATGGTAAACTCTGGTGCAATGCCGGACACTGTCACATTTGTATCATTATTGGCTGCATGTGCTCATGTGGGGCTGGTAGATGATGGTGAGCGAATATTCGTTCTGATGAAAGATCGGTTCAAGATTAAACCAACAATGGAACACTATGCTTGTATGGTTAATCTATATGCTAGAGCACAGTTGATAACCAAAGCGTATGACTTCATTCTGTTGAACAAAATAGAGGTAGAGGCTGGTCCAACCATTTGGGGAGCATTGCTCTATGGTTGCTCCCTTTCTGTCAATGCTGATATTGGAGAGGTTGCCGCTAAGCATCTATTTCATTTGGAGCCAGAGAACGAGCATAATTTTGAGCTCTTGTACAAGATCTATGTTAAAGCTGGTCGCAATGAGGATGCAGAAAGAGTAAGAAAAATGATGTTAGAGAGAGGCTTTGCCTTGTGCTTTGATGACAAAAGTGTTGTGTAATTGGGATTATCACTTGCAAATTTCTACCGTACCCAATTAAATTAGATGGGTTTTGGTACCCAAGTTTTATAGTAAGCCAGTCACATTACATTCCAATAGTTCTGTACCTGTTATGAAAAATTTGTAACTTATTTGTTACTTCGTATTTTTTTGTCTTACTCCTGTAATTTTTACCATCATTTGTAAGTTTTGTCTATACCTGTTATGAAAAATTTAGAGTTTAGCACTTCCTTTAAAGATCTCTTTGTCCTTCCCTACATATATTTTTTGTCTTACTAGTTACGAAAAAATTAAACTCTAAATTTATTTATTTTTACAACGAAATGCTTGACTTTATTACATTATATTTATTTGTAAAAAGTATTAGTCAACAAAATATAAATATTAAATTTTGTTTTATGTATTGTATGTAAAAAAATTGTGTAGAGTGAATATCTCGATGGTGGTTTCACTGGTTTGATTGTATCGAAAACTGAACTAATAGAATGAATGCACAATTTTGGTTTAAACTGAGTGAAAATAGACATATTGATGGAGCAAAATTATATGGCACATATATAGTGTAACAATAAACGGTATAGAAAAAGAAATAATTGCATATATATGACTAAATTGAAGATTTGTTTAGTAAAACGTAATCATTTAGGTGTAGTGACTATAATGGTAATTTTAATCGTAGTAATTTATATTCAATTTTTACACTTAAGTGATCATGACACTGATTACATTTGTCTCATAATTTATCTAAAAACTTATAAACATGAATGAGGGTTAGAGCCCTTTGGGAATATAAAATTTGTTGGTGTAACATTAAGCATAATGTAGTTGTACTCTATGTTTGAGTGATTGTACTCATTGTTATCATATCTATAACGATTGTTTATCTCCGTTAAAATAAAACCCCAACTGCCCGTTGTCTAGCTTTTCTCCGTTAAAATAACATGCAATTGAATGAGATGGTTTTGAAACAACAGGCGTACCTCGCTTTCTTGGTTGAATCTTCGGGCCTCATATCTAGCCAAGCCCTCTCCGCTGACAAGGTGTGCCACCTGGAATTTCTGGTAACCCAAATAAGCACACATCCGGATTGTTGTAGATTCCAGGACATCATTTTAGTGTAAGTCTTTTAACACACTCAAGTTCTTTATCGTGTGTCTACTTTTAATGGAAGAAATTCTTTTAAGCATGCTAGGTGTTCGTTAATATGACTAACCAAGAATTCGTGTAAGGTTTGAGTCCATGCGTATGGACTTAATTTGGAAGAGCAAAACATAATTCTTAGTAGCATACTAGGTGTTTTTAGATATGCCTAAACCACTAAATGAATTTTTAGACTATTTTTATATATACTTCCTATACCTCAAGGACACATAATTCATCCAAAAGGAAAAATAAATGATGCAGTAGGACAAATGCTAATATGTTTTTCAGTTTAGAATAGCTAAAAAGACCTCATACCATGAATAGTTCTCCTTTCCGGTGTTTTGAATACTTGGACTTCGTTTTCCTTACATTTTTTTTAATGCCAGCTCATAATTAACTGAATAGATCAGGACATGGTCATTTCAGGTGCATTTCGTTTGCTTTTCAAAATTGTTGAGGAATTAAATTGGTTGTCATTTGATTGGTATTCCCAATGTTACCAACTGCTCAGGTGTTTTGAATGGATTAGAATAACAATTTCATTAAATCTGTACAAAATTATAAGATGAATAAAGGAAATCCTGAAATGGTACTACGTATTTCAGAATTCCTGTAACCCCTTTCCCATATGTTCGATTGTTGCATGGTGGAGTACTGAAAATGGTAAGAGTGGAGTGGTCGCTTGGGAAATGGTACATTTGGTAAGAGTGGAGTGGTCTCTCGGATTATGGAGTTCCAAAATCCAACGTACTCTATTCTAATCCATTGAAATCAGTTTTAACCACACTTGAGTCACTATTGATGTTTCTGTACATAGCTTCTTATGGAACAATAAATTGTTAAGCTCCTTCTAACTTCTAAGTCACTTGTGGAAGAAAACTTCTGGAATGATTTGCCACTTTAATTTTGGACTTGCTTCCATATGATGGTATACACATTAACCAGCATGCTGCTTTTTGAAATTTGCATTAGAGTAAGAATGTTATACTTGGTTTTTAACATAAGTTTGAAGCGAACCCTTCATTCTACCCAATTCAGCTAAAAGACACTTGCTACTAGAGCTCTTTTAGTTATAAAAATATATCAAAAGTAGTTATTCTTTCATCCTCCTCCATTTATCATATCTATATTTGAATTCATTTCTGAATTAAGAGAACTCTAATTTAAATTAGGTGAATTCATATCTACATTAAGATTTAGGATGCTAGATTATTTCTAGGTCGACATTAGTATGCTAGATTATGCCTAGGCCAGTGGACGATGTGAGCTATGAACACTGGAAGTCTGGAACCATAGGAACCTGGGGCCGCATAGCTATGTTAATGGGAAAATTGAACAATTCTATTTCTTACATGTGCACAAGGAGATATGTATATAGTTTTTTCAGCACACCACATTAATCAGAAAGAGCATTTCCATCATATCTTAACACAAAAGTAATAATGGATTATTTGTGCAAAAGTTTGCGTAGTTCAAATGAAAAAAAAATCCCATACATGGAAGTTATCCTTTCTTGAATGAAAAATTTTGCTTTAAAATATATGATACACTTGAGTGTATATGTGGGTGTGACCATTAACTTTATGCTCTATATGTGTAGCGTTTCCATTTTCAGTTGCTTTTCTTTTAGCACTTCCCGTTTTAGTGGTTCCAGCTTAGCTTATCTTTTCCTTTCTTATTCAGATTTTTAATATGCTAACGTTCTGCTCGTGTGATTTTGACATCTAAAGTCAATTGAGATTCAAATTTTGAGCTATCATTTTAAATAACCGCTGGCTTGTTTAGCAATCTGCGGTTTAGATACTGTTTTTTTGAAAGGTGTTGATGTATATATTCCCTTTTGGATAATGACAATCCCAAAGGAGAACAACCTTTTCAATTTCTGAATATGGCGCACATCTTATATTTAGGGGCTTCTTCTCCCTAAATATTCCCTTTGACTAACTGGTGTGATTGCAGAAGGAAAAAATGCAGAAAGAAAAGGAAAGATCATTTTGCATCTTTTTTGAGTAATCATTGAGTAATCATATTGTAGAAAGAGTATTCTCTATCAGCTCTACAACTACTTCCCAATAAAAGTAATTCCATAAAAAACGCAGAAAGAAAAGGAAAAATGAAAAACTGAACTTCTACTTCCGTCCCCCTAAGTTTGGGACAAAGGAGAGTCGTGTGGTTTTTAAGGAAAATAGAGTTATGTGGTTGATAATGAATTGATAAAGTGCGAATAAAGTAAGAATGAATTTGAGCCACACAAACTTTACCAAATTTGGTATGAGACAATCTTAGTGAAATTTCTCGAAATGAAAAAATGGGACAATCTTAGCGGGACGGGGAGTACATTTTAATGTCAAACAAAAATGTACTACATGTTCGCATATAAATGTATTTGGAATAAATAATTATCATCAAGTTATGATTAGACAATGCTAACAAATACTCCATTGTGGTCGTTTTTTGTTTCACGTTCAAATTAATCTCAACTTTCGAACATACAGACTTTTATTTGAAAGTTAATGTATTGTGTGCTTATAATTTTTTAATAAGCTGCTTGTGTACTGTGTTTGAGTCGTTGGATACTACACTTGCAAGAGGGTTTAACTTAAAGCTACTGGAATCACTACATTATGTTGCTTGAAACAATTTATTATGAAAAACACATGCTTATTATTTGGTATTAGCTGTATTAGTATATTCTACTATATTCCGGATATAGGAGTGTTTTCCTTTTAGCTATTATGTTCAGTTTTCCTCTAATCATTTTAGCGCAAATTATACCGTGGGATCGGCCCACCATGCGCATGGTGTGCCGATCCCAAAACGAGGCCGTTTTATATTAATTAAAACAGAGCCGACAAAATTCACCGTCTTCTCCAGCCGTCTAGCGTGTGCTTCGTCCCTGCGGCCAAAAATTTAATTCCTTTGCTGATACGAAGCTTCCTTGTTGAACCTCGCTACCTGCTGAATCGAATTTGTAATGCTTCGTGCATATGAGACTAAAGACAATTATGTAGCAAACTCTAATTCAAACCAGCGAATGCATAATTTAACACAAGCTGTTAGCAAAGAAGATAGCTCGTCCATCTTTGGCCGTACTTGTCTTGCCGGCGACGCAGTATTCCCTTACGGTGGATTGAAGGACTTTGATAATATACATTCCAGAGCATAAGTTACATAATTTTATGCTTGAGTTACATTATTTTATAAGCGAGTTACATCTTCTGAAACGCAAGTTACATTTGTCATCAACGCGAGTTACATTTGTTATAACATGAGTTACATAAAAACTAACTCACTGCTATTGAAACAAAAAAAAAAGTTTTTTTTAAAATTCTTGTGATGGTCATGATATTAAAAACAAAACATATTCACGATTTACGTAAAGTAATTGTGTAGTTAGACTCTTTTTTTCATTGTTTACATTGAAATCAATGTTTTATTTCTTATAGTATGTATTTGATAAGTTACATTTCGAATAGACTTGAGTTACATTGATCAATAACGTGAGTTACATATCTTTACACGCGAGTTACATCATTCATACTACCAGGACAAAAAACAGTTACTGAACACGCGTGTACTGTTCACGCGTTACTGTTCACGCGAATTTTTTTAAAAAATTGTGCAAGACTGCGTCGTTTTGGATGTGGGAGCACGGTGCTCACCGTGGGGTGATACCACGGTATACGAACTGTCATTTTAGGGTATAATCGAAAGGATTCAAAACCACATTATTATTATTATTGACTTCAAAGATTCCCATTACGGGTCATTTAGAAATCCATATGTCTGAGAACTTAACTTTATAGAATTGCCTAAAATTTAATACTTTCGTATACTAAAGATTTACTACTACAATCAGGGATTAGGGCCTTTTGGGTTATGGAAATATAGTTACTGAATGCTTTATTAATTCAGAATTCTCCATACTTATATGAGAACATGCTTGTAGTAACTTTAGGTTCGTTCCACTTCAGTCTAGATTTGCTTTTGGCTTAACTAAAGAGTTCTTTAATCTTTACTCAGAGCTCACGATCCATTACGTGAAGTGCAAGAACAGTTGCACACGGATGATGCTAAGTTTGCATAAGCAGTTTGG